TTCCCAACACTGCCTACCTGTCTTAGCAATCATTTCCAACACCACACACATGTCTCAGCAATCATTCCCAACACCGCACACCTGTCTCAGCAATCATTCCCAACGCCGCACACCTGTCTTAGCAATCATTCCAAACACCGCACACCTGTCTTAGCAATCATTCCCAACACCGCACACCTGTCTTAGCAATAATTCCCAACACCGCACACCTGTCTCAGCAATCATTCCCAACACCGCACACCTGTCTCAGCAATCATTCCCAACATCGTACGCCTGTCTCAGCAATCATTCCCAACACCGCACATCTGCCTCTGCAATCATTCCCAACACCGCACATCTGCCTCTGCAATCATTCCCAACATCGCACATCTGCCTCTGCAATCATTCCCAACACCGCACATCTGCCTCAGCAATCATTCCCAACACCGCACACCTGCCTCTGCAATAATTCCCAACACAGCACACCTGTCTCAGCAATAATTCCTAACACCGCACACCTCACGACCACATATATTAAAAGAATGACGTTTTGCCAGTTTGTGAATCAATATTGCGTTTTCCACATACCATTTAAAAACTGTGGGAAAGAAAAGGCTGACTCTACGAACACAATTTACCTCTGCTGACTTTAACCGGGTACACAACATAAAACGAATTCGTTCTGACTGGTTTTAAATTCAATTCCCCGAACTGTGAACCTCCCTAGGAAGGAAGGAAATCTGACGCCATTTTGATAAACCTTCCAGAGGTAATCATGAACATAACAGGAAGTACCTGCCGGGCTGCTGTAGAACCTCACAACGGGACAGTCATTTGTCTGGACACGATTTTAAACGTTCAACATACCGTTCTCGTTCCGCTGAACGTGCTGACGATCGTGTTCAACAGTTTCACAATAGTCACAGTCTTTATCAGCAGAAAACTACACACAATTCCCAATATGTTAATTGTGTCGCTGGCGATCAGCGACTTCCTCGAGGGAATCTTGTCTTTGTGCACAAACTTCATGTATTTAGCGTTTGACATTCCGTGTTCACGGAACTGTGAAAACGATTTCGCTGATGTGGAACCGTCGTGGGTGCGAGACATTCGGTTTGTGATATCTTTGTCTTTCACCTGCAACTACTGCTGCTTGCTGATTATCGCCATCCAGCAATGGCTGTACATTTTCCAGCCGTTCCTACACGACCGATTGGTAAGGCCACGCTCTACCGTTCTCGTCATTACCATCTGCTTCGTTGTAAGTGTCTTGATCAACCTTGACCTTCTGCTGGTTAAATCAAATATGGTGTCGCAAAACGAGACCTTTGGTCGTCGGATGTTCGCTGCTCCAGCTCTGCATTCAGCGTCCAGTGGTCTCATGTTTGCTGTCTACTTCCACATCACCCTCATAGCTTACCAGCAGCTGCGTAGTCTGCGACGGCAGGTCGCTGGCATTTGCGGGGACTCGAACGCGGATCAACCACAGTCCGTAAAAGTTCTTTCCAGCATCAGATTTCTGAAAATGTTTTTTATGTCGTTCGGGGTGTTCTTCGCTTGTCTTAGTCCCCTCATCTACTACAGGGTCTTTCTGGGACAAGCCCCGCGCGGTGTCCAAGAATGGACAGTGATCGTCTGTCTGGAGACACTGCCTGCCATACATTACCTAGCGAATTTCTTTGTGTTCGCCATCCAACACAAGGAGTTGAACTCGGAGTTCAGGAAGTTCCCCAGAAAATGCCTCAGACTTTGGAAATATTGAAAATCCAGGGAAATTCACGTGTTGCAGCTGTGAATTTGTGAAGCAAAAGATTAAAAGATGTCAGCACAGTTCTATACAACTTCCTTAAACCTGATCTTATGGTAAATTTGAAAGCTGTACATTCTTATCCAATTCATCCATTATCTAATGTCATGAGTCAGCACTTGCACACCCCATCCCTTGAAAACCCATTTCTCCGGTTAGCTTGGACGGCAATCTTCTTGGACTAGGGTCACATATGGTTTTCACGCAAACACTGCACCAGTTACAAATCTTATGAAAGTTGGGACCGTAAATAGAAGGAATAAAAGACCCTCATAGATAAGGAGACATAACCATAACGGAATATGTATGATGGCGCTTATAATCTGGCAATAAGAGACTAGAAACCTGAACAGTGCTACGGGGCTCGTGCAATGCGTTATGACTCAATACGAGGAACTTGAAGCATAAATAGTGTTTGAGCTGTCTGCAGTGTCTTGACTGAGTACACTGGCTGACTGTTGTATTAAGGTTGCTACCAAGACTGAGGCTTTAACAGATAAGTGACTTTTCGGTTTTATTAATGTAGTTATGTCAGTGTTTTGTCTTTGTATCTGATAAAGGCTTTCTAACCGCAACGTTAATTTTGCCACTTGTATTTGTGTTCCTGTAAAGCAAACAAGGTAAACTGTCCGTGTCATCTCCAGTCTTGTCCCTCAAAAATCGTTTATGATGACACCCTATGGACTTCAACTGTCGTTTCCTGAATGGCAAACCCAGACATCCCAGCGACTTCAACTGTCGTTTTCAGAATGTTAAACCCAGACACCCCATCACCCCTTTCCTCTACCGCGAAGAAGTTATAACTTGGACACCCTTTGTTAGTTAAACACACTTATTGGTTGTATTAACCTTTCATTTATGTTTGTTCAGGCTGGTCTAAGCTAGAGGGTTGTCCCGGTGTCCTGCTATCTTCGCAAATATTTCTGCGTTTCGTGTTAATCGTTCTTCTGTGAGCAGCGGCCGCCTACAGTGCAGTTTCACAGGCACTCACAATTAGTGTTTCTTGGTGGATCTATCATAGCCGTTTAGGATTTTAAGCGGGACATGAATTTATTTTATCTGTCAGGGTTGGCGAACGACGAGGAGTGTACCGTTGCGTTTTTGGAGCAACACAGCGTTTTGGGGAGCGCCGCAAAATGTTAAGAAGTCTGAAACTGCAGGGCACTCTCTCGTGGGACCTAAGCTCAGTGTGTGGGGGTGGTATGGGTTGGGGTTAGGGTCAGTTGTACATGTTATAGAGTCGTTCAAATCGCTCACCTTCTGTAATATCAAGCACGCGTGGCCGCCGGTAAGAGCGCCCATACAATACACTCTCGCACCAACTTGACACCCCTGCCACTTAGTCTTACGTGTCTCAAGGGTGAAGGCACATCAATTAACGTCTAATCACTTCTCGCTGGGCCCGACTTCGTTACCATAACCCTTTTATTTACGGACATAGTTTCACTAGAACAGTCAAGTGGTATACACCAAAAGCTTGACCTAGTCATGTACTTTTCACCCAGACATCTGCATACTGCCTGAAACAATATTTGTAGATCCGTAGTCCATATTTCCTTATAAGTAAGTTTGTTGCTTGTCCTTTATGGGACGTTGCAAAACCAGCCTCGACATTTGTTAATTGTGTTTTGATTTTACTTGCAAGCTGAACATTCAGTAGTTTGCCACTGCTCCTAAACGGTCAGTGTTCGATATCCCTGTCGACATTACGACAAGACAATGGAAGTTATTGCATGTTAGTCGGACGGTGATCCAACCCCAAAGCTGCTACAAATGAGTACTACCTTGGCGCAGATCCCATCCTGTTCGTGGCAAACTTGTGTGCTTTACAAACATATAAGTACTTGGTGGCAAACTTCAACTGCTCCAGCATGCTGAGGGAAGAAGTACAATATAGAATACAGCTAAAAATTTAGTATACTATCTTCTTCAACATCTGCTTAAGTGAAAGTCTCTATCTGGCAACACGATGTTGCTAGAATCTGCATCTATCACATTTTATAACATGATGTATTTTTTTTACGCGGCACCGAGTGCATTCAGCACCTTCTAACAGATTAGCTGCATACACAGCACCATTTGTTTAAATGTTCAGTTTAGTGGCTAAACGCAAATTCCAAGCACTGATGTACCTCTCACTAGAAGACGGGGTTTCTCTATTAGCAAATGTTGAATATTGAAAATCCTCTTGAGTTCTCATCAAATCAAAATACTACTAGTATCACTGCTCCTGCTGCTGCTGCTGCTGCTATTGCTACTAGCATTACTACAATAACCACTATTGTTACTGCTGCTAATAAAGTTACTGCTAAATAACTACTACTATAACTATTTGTTACTACTGCCACTGCTAGTGATGCTGCTACTATGACTACTACTACAATAACTACTGCTGTAGCTACTATAACTATTACTGCTACTACTAAAAGTACAAGTATTGCAGTAGCTTCTTCTACAGCTTCTTCTACAGATACTTGTACCACAATCACTTTTATTACTGCTGCTGTTGCTGTTGCTAGAACTACTATTGGTACTGCTGCTACTACTGCTGCTGCTGTTGCTAGAACTACTACTGGTACTGCTGCTACTACTGCTGTTGCTGTTGCTAGAACTACTACTGGTACTGCTGCTACTACTAATGTTGCTGTTGCTAGAACTACTACTGGTACTGCTACTACTGCTGCTGCTGTTGCTAGAACTACTACTGGTACTGCTGCTACTACTGCTGCTGCTGTTGTTAGAACTACTACTGGTACTGCTACTACTGCTGCTGCTACTACTACTATTTCTGGTTATATTGTGTGTGTATGTATGTGTGTATATGTATGTATGTATGTATGTGTGTGTATGGTGAGGGGGGGGTGTGCAGGTTCTTTCTCATTGCTATTTTATTTCTCATTCTCATCAGCCTCATCAGTCTCATCAGTCTCATCAGCCTCATCAGTCTCATCAGTCTCATCAGTCTCATCAGCCTCATCAGTCTCATCAGTCTCATCAGTCTCATCAGTCTCATCAGTCTCATCAGCCTCATCAGTCTCATCAGTCTCATCAGTCTCATCAGCCTCATCAGTCTCATCAGTCTCATTAGTCTCATCAGCCTCATCAGTTTCATCAGTCTCATCAGTCTCATCAGCCTCATCAGTCTCATCAGTCTCATCAGTCTCATCAGTCTCATCATGGTCGTCGCCATTATCACTATCACGTTCTTTGCCAGGCCTCTCCGATGAACAGCGCACGTTCTTTGAGAACAGTCAGTCGCAGCTGACGTACGAGAGAGACGGAGACACTTGGACCATTCACGTAGGGATCGTGGGGATACCGCAGACAACGACCTTCACATTCAAGATGGGTCAACTGTACGACTCTACAAACATTGACGGGTCTCCGCTGAAGGTGAGCATTGAGTGAGTGAGTAGGCTCATTACAGTGTTAGTGAGTAGGGGAGTGAGTAAGTGAGTGAGTGAGTAGGCTCATTTGAGTGTGAGTAAGTGGGTGAGTGAGTGATTGAGTGGGTGAGTGAGTGAGGGAGTGAGTGAGTGTGTGAGTGCGTGAGTGAGTGGGTGAATGAATGAGTGAGTGGGTAAGTGAGTGAGTGAGTGTTGAGTAGGTGAGTGAGTGGATGAATGAGTGGATGAATGAGTGAGTGAGTAGGTGAGTGAGTGGGTGAGTGAGTGTGTGTGTGTGAATGAGTGAGTGAGTTGGTGAATGAGAACGCCTGTATGAGTGAGTGGGCTAATTAGAGTGTGTGAGTGGGTAAGTGAGTGGGTGAATGAGTGAGTGAGTGGGTCAGTGAGTAGGTGAGTGAGTGAGTGTGTGAGTAAGTCAATGAATAAGTGAGTGAGTGAGTAAGTGAGTGAGTGAGTGAGTGTTTGAATAAATAAGTGAGTGGTGAGTGAGTGAGTGTTTGAATAAATAAATTATTGGGTGAGTGGGTGAGTGAGTGTTTTAATAAATGAGTGAGTGGGCGAGTGAGTCGGTGAGTGAGTGGGTGACTGAGTGGGTGAGTGAGTGGGTGTGTGAATGAGTGAGTTGGTGAATGAGAACGCTTGTATGAGTGAGTAGGCTAATTAGAGTGTGAGTGAGTGGGTGAGTGATTAAGTGAGTGAGTGAGTGGGTGAATGAGTGAGTGGTTGGGTAAGGAATCGGTGAGTGAGTGGATGAGTGAGTGAGTGGGTGCGTGAATGAGTGAGTGAGTTGGTGAATGAAGACGCTGGGGGACATGGGGCACGTGTGGGTATTGCCGGTATGTTATGATGTCGATTCCTATTGAATGAATGAATGAATGAATGAATGAATGAATGAATGAATGAATGAATGAATGAATGAATGAATGAATGAATGAATGAATTGACCTCACTGCATTTTAGGCATTTCCACGCGTGTTCCGTCTCCTCAAAAAGTCGACATGCTATTAGTACTGTTACAACCTGATTAAAAGGTCGCCTTTGTTTCCCCTCGTGTTGAATATCTTCCATGTCCTCTACTCACACCCAGGTGAGTTAGTCGTTCTATGTACGAATTGTCTGTCTCGTCTGTTGCACTGTCTATTTGATTCCAGAGTATCGATACGAACGACTACACACGTAAACATATACATATTCAAAGACATCTACACCCAGACACGCACACACACACACACACACACACACACATCTGTACAATTATGCCTGTACACAAAGACTAACAGCCGCCAGGGAAAACAAACCACACATGTCTGTATACCCACACACGCACACACACATACATACAAACACACATTCACTTACATAATCAAATACACACACAGTAGGCAAAAATGTGGATACAAAAGCATACAGATAAATAAATATATCTCAGGTTAGGCTCACGTTAATCACCTCAAATAGAGAAGGTCACTTTTCATTCACAAGTTTGTTGGGCTGGTCGACTTTGTTGAAGGTTACGGGTGTGTCCGGCTCTATTATTTGCTTTCTGTGATGTCTTTCATTTACTTTTTCATTCCGAAAAAGAGAATGACTGTGACATAAGTTGCAGCACTCTCTATGTGGGCGGGGGGGGGGGGGGGGGGGGGTGGTGTAAGGACTAGTTTTTTTCATGTTTTTAGAGTGTTAAATCGCTGGCGTGCTGAAATATACAACACGCGATATCAACGGTATTGTAGAGCACCCCCGTAACCTTGTGCCAATGTGAGAGGTTCAGGAACTACCATTAGAAGTGAGCTATTGTGTATATGGGTGGGGCTTGCGGTATAAAACGTTACTTTCACCTATATCTCATACACACACAAGTACCCATACACAACCACACGCTTGCAGACGTATGTCAGTCTAGCCACATGTGTGAGCCGCTACTGACTTGCTACTTGCAGAGCGTCATCAGACAAGATGGCAGCCGACTGGTCGAGCGACATGAGAGCAACGGTCAACGCACATTCGTCATGGACATCGTTCGTGACGTCAGCGGGGATACCATGAACGCGGTCAGTCGAAGTATCTTCTTTCATAGTACAATCATGCATCTTGTGGAACCGATATATATATATACTTTTGTCCATTACATTATTGTTGTACCATTCTTGTACTGCCCAGTTTATGACAAAGCTGCTGTGGCGGCTCCTAGTGGTGCAACTAGCGATCTTTGATCTCGTTAAGGTATTGATTGTTTAAGTCTCTAAAGAAGAGTCATTTGTTATCTGAATATTGCGAGGTAGAGAGATATTGAAACCTAACAGCACATTGGTCGTGGTACCAAAAGTAAAGTTTTTCTTGGTAGCACTAGTAGTAGCCATATTAGCAGCAGTAATAACATCAATAACAGTAGTAGTAGTAGTAGTAGTAGTAGTAGTAGTAGTAGTAGTAGTAGTAGTAGTAGTAGTAGTAGTAGTAGAAGTAGTAGTAGTAGTAGAAGTAATAGTAGTAGTAGTAGTAGTAGTAGTAGTAGTAGTAGTAGTAGTAGTAGTAGTAGTAGTAGTAGTAGTAGTAGTAGTAGTAGTAGTAGTAGTAGTAGTAGTAGTAGTAGTAGTAGTAGTAGTAGTAGTAGTAGTAGTAGTTGTAGTAGTAGTAGTAGTAGTAGTAGTAGTAGTAGTAGTAGTAGTAGTAGTAGTAGTAGTAGTAGTAGTAGAAGTAGTAGTAGTAGTAGTAGTAGTAGTAGTAGTAGAAGTGGAAATAGTGGCGGTAGTAGCAACAGTAAAAGTAGTAGTAGCAGAAGCAGTATTAGTAATAGCAGCAGCAGCAACAGTATGAGTGGTAGTAGTAACATCAGCAGCAGTAGTAGTATTAGTAGCAGTACTAGTAGCATCAGTAGTGGTATTCGCAGCAACAGTGGCAGCAGCAACAGTAGTAGTATTAAAATAATTAGTAGTATTACCACCACCAGCAGCAGCAGCAGCAGTAGCCGCAGAAACAGCAGTAGTAGTAGCATCAAAAGTATTAGAATTAGCAGGAGCAGCAGTAGCATTAGTAGCAGCAGCAGTATTATTTTTAATATTATTAGCAGCAGCATTAGTAGTAGTATTAGAAGCAGCAGTAGTAGTTTTAGCAGTAGTAATAGAATTAGCAGCAGTAGCAACAACAGCAGTAGCAGTATTAGCTATAGCTGCAGTAGTAGCATTACTAATAAAGTGCCCTCTGGTGCCAGAGGCAGATGATGTGGATGATGTGATGGTCATATTTGTGTAGAACCATTTCTGTCAGTGATGTGGCCAACATGACACCCACAGAATACATTGTGCAATCTATTTATTGCTTGTGTCTTTTCTCTACTGACAACTACAGAAACAGAACAATGCTTTAATGTTTGGTATTAACTGACAACTACAGCAACAGAACAATGCTTTGATGTTTGGTATTTACTGACAACTACAGCAACAGGGCAATGCTTTGATGTTTGGTATTTACCGACAACTACAGCAACAGGGCAATGCTTTAATGTTTGGTATTTACTGAGAACTACAGCAACAGGGCAATGCTTTGATGTTTGGTATTTACTGAGAACTACAACAACAGGGCAATGCTTTGATGTTTGGTATTTACTGAGAACTACAGCAACAGGGCAATGCTTTGATGTTTGGTATTTACCGACAACTACAGCAACAGGGCAATGCTTTGATGTTTGGTATTTACTGACAACTACAACAACAGGGCAATGCTTTGATGTTTGGTATTTACTGAGAACTACAGCAACAGGGCAATGCTTTGATGTTTGGTATTTACTGAGAACTACAGCAACAGGGCAATGCTTTGATGTTTGGTATTTACTGAGAACTACAGCAACAGGGCAATGCTTTGATGTTTGGTATTTACTGAGAACTACAGCAACAGGGCAATGCTTTGATTTTTGGTATTTACCGACAACTACAGCGACAGGGCAATGCTTTGATGTTTGGTATTTACTGACAACTACAACAACAGGGCAATGCTTTGATGTTTGGTATTTACTGAGAACTACAGCAACAGGTCAATGCTTTGATGTTTGGTATTTACTGAGAACTACAGCAACAGGGCAATGCTTTGATGTTTGGTATTTACTGAGAACTACAGCAACAGGGCAATGCTTTGATGTTTGGTATTTACTGAGAACTACAGCAACAGGGCAATGCTTTGATGTTTGGTATTTACTGAGAACTACAGCAACAAGGCAATGCTTTGATGTTTGGTATTTACTGACAACTACAGAAACAGACCAATGCTTTGATGTTTGGTATTTACTGACAACTACAGAAACAGACCAATGCTTTGATGTTTGGTATTTACTGAGAACTACAGAAACAGAACAATGCTTTGATGTTTGGTATTTACTGACAACTACAAAAACAGGGCAATGCTTTGATGTTTGGTATTTACTGAGAACTACAGCAACAGGGCAATGCTTTGATGTTTGGTATTTACTGACAACTACAGCAATAGAGCAATGCTTTAATGTTTGCTATTTCATTTTTCTCCCAGACAACTTCCATTGGAGGTATGGCCATGCAGACGATATACAAGAGAGTGTGA